GGTTAGCACACTCAGTCCCAGGCCCTGGAAACGGAATGACTGAGAACTGAGAGGAGGAGGGGACGGAGACCAGAGATGAGAAAAGCATTTGCCAGGAAACCAGGCTGGGGGGGTGGGGAGGCGGGGGGTGGGAGGGGCAATTAAGTGGAAAAGAGAAGTTGGAGCAGGGCTCACAGAACATCTTGAGGTCAGTAAAGGAAGTAGGAGGGAGGTAAGAACTAAATGTACAAAAAGTTTGAGTCTTAAATGGGATAAATATATATTTTATTATATGTAATATGTAAATGTATGATATATAAAACAATATAAATGTAAAAGCATGGACTCATCATAGAACAGGCCAATTAAATAATCAAATGCCCTAGTGACCCCCAGAGTGTTATAGTGGGGGACAGGGAAAGGACACTGGGCATAGCAATGTGACATGGAATAAGTTCCTTACCCCCTGAATTTTACCTCTTAGTCTGGGTCCTTCTAAGCATGGCATGAGTACAGAGAAGTAATGTTTCCAGCCCTCTTAATCTGCTATTCAGTGAATCTGGATTTCTTTCTCCTTCCAAAGTGAATCACCTGCAGCCTCTCACTACCCAGGGGATAGACCAAATAAGCCTGATTTGATTTCTAACATTAACAAGTGTGTGTTATTTGCAGGCTGCATTCTAAGTCATTGTGGTTAACTACTCACTCTTCACAATAGCCCTGTGACATAAATACATTATCATTCTTAATTTGCAAATGAGAAAATTTTAGATTCAAATATGTTAAGTAATTTGCCCTAATAGCTAAGAGAATGAAAAGGGGCTCTAACTGTCAAGCCCATGATCTGTACCACTTAACTGTGTTCCTTCCCAACAAAAAGACAGGAACTAGAAAGCAAAGCCTTTGCAAGGCCTGGTGGAGGCATGCAGGGGGCTCCCTCTGTGTGGGATCAACTGTCAGAGAAAGCTTCCTAGAAATCCCCAGTGAGATCCGAGGGGACACCACTGTCAGAATGAAGTCCTAACACCCTTAATGGCACTCTGAAGGTCTGAGGTGGCTCTGAGAGGACACTAACCGCAGATATAGCTAGGACAGAGCTGCAGCTGGTCATTGCCTCATGTTTTGAAAGTATCTTGAAATCTAGGAGCACTGTGTGCTAATATGTCCAAACAGAAGTGTTGGGGGTCAGCAAGTAGGCTGAAGTGAATGGAATCAAAGTCTGCCAATGTGTTTGCTGCACTGTTCACTCTAATTCAAAATGGTCAGTCCAGGTGCGGTAGAGAAAGAGCCTTGGGAAGAGAGGTGAAGGAAGGAGATGCTGTCTAGGGAAAATGAAAACACACATATAAAAACAAACAGAAACCTAAAAGAAATGACTATATCATCTATTCATTGATTAATGTGTGTGCATGATACTATGTTTCAGATGTGTCTTGACCCTATGACATTTTCAGGGTGCCCTAAATTCGCTGAGTTTCTTCTAAGTCTCTCATTTTATTAAACACTACGGCATGATACCTGGGAGTATGTCAGATGCTATACACAGAGCTGTCTTTCAGACAGACATACTCTCTGCTCACTCCCAGTGGCACATGATAGGGGTATATAGTAGTTATTGGTAGCCATCTACAAGTAGGGTAGACTTGAGGAGCACAGCAAGCCAATTGGGTCTAATTTTACCAGGGGTAGGCACTCGGGAAACCCACTAGCTCTACATGTGCTCTAGCTACAGTGTCGTTTGTTCTTAATAGTGGGATAATTTGAATTTACAAAGTTCTCTCTTACTAGTCTAATATCTAGCAGAAATAGGAAAAGTTTTTTTTTTAAGTGCTACACAAGATTAGGCTTGGCTCCTCCTCTCTCCCAGTGGATTAAGTCCCTAAGGCAGCAAGGATCAGGATGACTCCCTTTTCCTGGTTCTCACATCTTCTTGTAATTTCCCACTTTGTGCAGTGCCTGTGTTGGGCTTTGTTGGGAAATGGGAAACGTGATGCATGCTCCTTTTGAAAAAAGTGTGTGTGTGTGTGTGTGTGTGTGTGTGTGTGTGTGCCCCTCCTTCTCTTTATTTCTCTTAGAATTGCTTTGAAAGAAAAATACATTTTGAGAAGCCCATGTGGAGAGTAACAGAAGCCCCTTGTGGACAGCCACTGGAGTGAAGTTGGAAATACATTTTTTTATATATAGTTTAGTGTGTTTGGTTTTTTTGTGATTTTTTTTTATTTTTATGTGTATGGGTGTTTTGTCCGCCTGTATGTCTGTACTCCATATGTATGAAGTGTCCATGGGGGCCAGAAAGAAGATACCAGCCCCCTAGTCTAGTTTATAGAAGCAGTAGTTTGCCTTATGACAAATCATAAGCCATAACTATCCAGCCTGTCAATTCTCAGATTCTTCATATGCAGAAATGATGTAAGCTTATGGATGTTTGTTTTTTCATGCTGCAAAGTTTTGGTGGCAATTTGTTTTGCAACAGTAGATAAGCAACATAGCGCTTGCTCTTTGTCCTTTGAGTACCCTGTTCGTCCTGATAGGGCACTCACACATCGTGTTGTAATTACCCATTTGCTTGTTTATCATACCACACTGTGAGCTTAGGGAGATCATATTTCCATTGCCTGTGCACCTTGACCACCTGGCACACATCAAAATGTGTTGTTGGCTAAATAACTTTCACTAAGGCAGAGCGTTAGGATTGAAAAAGCATTCGTGTTTTTATGTTCTCATACATTCCTCAGGCAAGCCTAAGAGGTCAGTGCACACAGACAGGGAAATAGAGACCTATTGCCTCACTTACATATCTGACAGTCGGCACCTAATAAAATCAAGACTCAAACCCAAGTCACCCAGTTCCTAGTGTATGCTCCTTCTCCTAAGCAACTGTTCTTGCTTAGCTGGAAGAAAAGCTAAAGAAATCAGTACCCAGTTGTAGGCGGAGCTCCATAGAAGGATACTGGATAAGAATTGGCTCATTTGTGGGGCTAGAGAGATGGTTCAGTGGTTAAGAGAACTGCTATTCTTCCAGAGGTCCTTAGTTCAATTCCCAGCACTCACATGGTGGCTCACAACCATCTATAATGGGATTGATGCCCTCTTCTGCTGTACAGATGTATATTCAGAGCACTATATTCATAAAGAAATCTTAGGTGGGGAAAGTGACTTGTTTGTGAGTTGACCAGTTCTGCAGGACTCACTCTCCAAAACATTCAAAATCTCACTGAATACTTACAAAAATTTTGAAAGAAGAACAATTTGGTCTTCTTTTGTGGATAAGAAAACAAAGGCAGGATTTCATCTATGTGGTAGCCCTTAGACTCAGACATAGTCAAACTCTTAGTTGAAGGCCATTTTAAAAGTTTTACTTGTTTTATGTGTATGGGTGAGGATTTTGTTTGTTTTAAATTATTTTATTTCTTGAGATTATAATATAGTTATATAATTTCCCCCTTTTTTTCTTTCCTCTAAACTCTGCCATGTATCTTCCCTCCCATGCCTTTACTCTCTTTCAAATTCATGACCTCTTTTTCTTTCATTGTGTTTTATGCATATATGTACATGTTTTTACATCATAGATACAACATGCTCTGTCTGTGTAATGTTACCTGCATATATGTTTTCAGGGCTGACCATTTGGTATTGGATAACCAATTGGTGTGGTCTTCTCTGGGGAAGATTATTTCTCCCCATCTCAGCATTCCTTAGCTGACTGTAGCTCTTGGTCTAGGTTTGAGTTCTAACGAGCTTTTCCCCATCCATGTTAGCATGTCTATTGGTGTCATCCCTGCTCAGGTCATGTTTAGGCAGCCATGTTGATAAAACTTCATATTTTACCTGCATGTATATCTGTATTATGTGCATGCTTGGTGCCCAAGAAGACCAGGAGAAGGTGCTGGGTCCCCTGGTACTGGAGTTATGAACACTTGTTAAACTGCTGTGTAGGTGCTGGGAAAACCTGGGTCCTCTGGAAGAGAAGCCAGTGTTTCTTAATCTCTGAGCCATCTCCCCAGCCACCAAACTGCTTCCTTTTTCCAACCCTATACACCTAGGTTTCAGCTCCAAGTCTAATTCCTGATTACAGTAGCAGCACAAGGAGCAAGATACCACAGTCTCAGACCTGTTTAAGGTAAAGATGCTACCTAAATGGCTGTGTTCTAGCTCATCTGTAGATGTATGTTAGGCCCCATCACCAATACTTGGGACCAAGGTCAATGCTTTATATTATTATGTGAGTTAAGAAATACATTATTCTGCCTGGAGACTTCTTCAGTTTGCACACTTTTAAAATGGGAGAAATGATCATGGTTATGATCAAATGAGATTTTAGTTTGGGTTTTGGTTTTGAGTTTTTGTCTCTCTATGTAATCCTGGCTGTTCTGGAACCATGTAGACCAGGATGTCTTTGAACTCACAGAAATCCACCTGTGTCTGGCTCCCTAGCACAGAATTTAAAGGCGTGCGCCACCATACCCAGTGAGATTTTTTAATGTGTTTATATATATACATGTGTATCTGTGTTTGTGTGTGTATAGGTACATAAGTGTACACATAAATGTTGATATATACACACACACAGAGGCCAAAGGAAGGCAAAGGATTCCTGGAGTTGGACTTACAGGAAATTGTGAGTTGCCCAGTGTGGGTGCTGAGTATTGAACTGGGGTCCTCTGCAAAAGCAGCAAGCATGCTTAACCATTGAACCATCTCTCTGGTCCCCGCTTGGTGCTTTTGAGACAGGATCTCTCACTGCCCTGGAACTTGCTACTGAGCTCACTGGCCCAAGAGCCCCAGGGATCTTCTAGTCTCTATTTCTCCAGCCCTTAGATTGTAACCCTGTGCCGCTATGCCTGGCTTTGTGGTCGGGGTGGGGTGTTGTTGTTGCTGTTGTTTCCTAGGCAATCATTTTACCAACTGATTTCACCCCAGCCTGAGAAGGCATATTTTAAATGACTACCACATAGTAGGTGTTCACAAGCATGTACCCATTCTTTTCTCCTTCTAGCTGTCTCCTATGTTCCACTTTTCAGGACAAGGACGCACCCTTTTGTGAGCCTCTCTTCTCTATTGGAAGCTGGAAGCTCAGCAGCAGGTGCAGAGAGCCTAAGTGAAAGCTCGTCAGGACCCTGTGCGTCTCCAGTCTGAACCGAGCTCCTCCGTGAGTTTCCGTTCTGCAGCTGCGCAGTGAGGCTAGAGACCTCTGCCCTTGGAGAGCAGGTATGCTGAGGAGTCAGACATGGAGTAAGCCTCAGCTGTTCTGTGGGCCATAATGGACTGTGGCTCAGGGCTGTCTGACTCCATGTAGAGTTGGGTAAATTTGGTCTGTTCCCATTCTTCCAAGAGACCTTTCACCTTGAGGGCTCAGTGACTAGAAAAATACTTCAGAAGCCAACAGCTTCACATTCTCCAGTGAGCTACGGAGCAGACTGTGGTTGGCTGGATATCAGGCCAAACCCATGAACTGTGAGAGGGCTCTCCGTCTGGTCCCAGGAAATAGAGTGCAGATTCACATGCTGGAAGATACAGCTTCCAGTCAGGAAGAAGAGCTCGGCTCTCTTTTTGTATGTCCCATCCAATATGCAGGCTTCACAGTTGAGCAGTGGAGGGGATCAGGCCACATTGGTCAAACACTCATACATATAAAACATAATAAAATAAATTGTAAAAAAACTTTTGTCAAATATAAAAGATACCTACCCACTTTCAGCCTTAGTTCTCTTGTCTGTAAAGCGATAGTGATAGGAATGTCTGGTTTGCAAGTCAGAGATGAAAACCACACGACATTACAAAATGTAAAGGGCAGTGTTCAGTTAGTCATTTTACTATTGCATTTCATTTGGAGAGAGGTAAATAACAGTCACAGTTGGGGACAGTACATATAAAATTTGACATAACTCATTCGACTTGTTTCAAACAATATCTATTGGAGAACCTCTTAAGTACTAGCATATTGATAATGAATGGCCTTTGGACTAATGGAGCTCATGCTTTTGCAACTGAGACAGATGGGTGAGTAAGCAAATTATTTCCATCGGGGCTGAGTGATTGAAAACAAGAGAAGATGCTCCAGCAGAAGAGTGGAGGCGGGTACTTACACAGCTGAAGGAGTCAAGGGAAGGAGGCCATGCTGAAGTAACAACTCTTGGATCCTGATGATTGAGTTTTAAACGATGACCCAGCTGCAGTTCCCCAGCTGGAGTGAATGTTGTTGTGATTCCCTTAAGAGCATAAAGAAAAAGCATAGAAGAAAGAAAGTTCATTGTGGGAGGAGGGGGCATGGAGTGCTGTCTGTCAGTAACATGATCGAGTATAATCAGCCACAAGGTATTCCCAGAAGACCTAGCCTGCTTAAGAGCCAGGCTTTGCTTGGGAGACAAGGGGGATGAACACAAAAGGAAAAAACAGTATGACTTATCTGTGCATGTGCATAAACGTGTGTGCGTGCGTGTGTGTGTGTGTGTGTGTGTGTGTGTGTGTGTGTGTGTGTGTGTGTGTGTGTGTGAGACAGGAATTTACTAGGTAGCCCAGGCTGGTCTCTAACTCATGGTAGTCTTCCTTTTTCAGACTTCCAAGTGATATATACTACCATATGCAGCAATTAATCTTTTTCAAGAAAAATAACTGAGTGTAGGACGGACACAAAAGGGAAAGCCTGGAGGCCAGGAACCTGAGAGCCTGTGGAGATAAGTGACCCATCTAAGCTGCTTAATCAGGAAGCTACAAGAGACTAGACCTCAGCCGGGCGTTGGTGGTGCACGCCTTTAATCCCAGCACTCGGGAGGCAGAGGCAGGCGGATCTCTGTGAGTTCAAGGCCGGGCTGGACCGATAGCCTCCAAAACAATACAGAGAAACCCTGTCTCGAAAAACCAAAAAAAAAAAAAAAAAAAAAAAAAAAAAAAAGAGACTAGACCTCGTTCTTAGACTTAACTGTGTTAATTCACTTGCTCCTTTCTCTACATCTCTGAAGCCTGCCTATCATGTAAAAATGTAATAGAATAACAATGATATGTGAGCAGAAACATAAAGCTACCGTAATCCCAGCAGAGGCAAACAGATCTCTGTTAGTTCAAAGCCAGACTGTTCTACAAAATAAGTTCCAGGATAGCCAGGGCAGAGAAAACCTGTCTCAAATAATAATAATAATATATATATGTATATAATATATAATCCAAAAAAAAAAAGCCAGGCGGTGGTGGCGCATGCCTTTAATCCCAGCACTCAGGAGGCAGAGGCAGGTGGATCTCTGTGAGTTCAAGGCCAGCCTGGTCTACAGAGCAAGGTCCAGGACAGCCTCCAAAGCAATACAGAGAAACCCTGTCTCGAAAAACCAAAAATAATATATATATATATAATAAAAATAAATAAAAACTACAAAAGGCCAGCTAGTCATGAGCTAGCCCAAAACTCTCCCAAATCCATGGTTTGCAGTTACTTTAAAGTATACCAGGCATTTTTGTTTTCTGAGCATTCACTTCCTAAGGTCTGTCTTCACAAGGAAAATGAAAACTTTTATTGGAATCAGTCATTCATCCATCCTCTCATAGAATGTATTGACAGCACTTTAGTCTAGTCTTTGATTGATTCATGGGAAATGAAAGGCAATTCTGCCCTCAAGGAACTCATGGCTTAGTACAGCTATGAAAAGTAGGGAGAATGCTTGGCAGTGTGAATGCTAATCCAACAAGAGGGGTGTGCTTACTACTATGGGAGTTTGGACAAGGACACCCTGAAACAGAGAGCCCTTGTGCTAAATCTGAAGGTCAAAGAAGAGGGGGCAGAAGTACCCTCAACTAAACAAAGACTGGATGTTCTTTGGGACTACAGTGACTAGAATTCAGGAACTCAGTCATGATGGAAGTCCTAAAGCTGGACATATGCTTTGTCTGTTTCTATTACTACATCAGGCTTAAAATATGACTTCCCACTGGTTAAAGACACTAAAATCCAGTCCTGCTCTCCCATAAATTACCAAAGAGGTGACACTGCTCTGCCATCTCCTCATCTCCTATTCCAGTGTCTGCTTCACCTCTGATCTCAAGGATCCTCCAACAGCTGAAAAACCATGCCAGCTCCTCCCAGGCAGTGCCCCAGGCTCCTGGTTCATTGTCATTCAATTCTCTATCAAATATTAGCTTATACACTCAGTTTCTGGATTAGTTTTTTGTTTGTCTGGCTGGTTGGTTTGGTTTTTGAGACAGGGTTTCTCTGTGTAGCTTTAGAGTCTGTCCTGAAACTCCATCTGTAGACTAGGCTGGCCTCGAACTCACAGAGATACACCTGCCTCTGCCTCCTGAGTGCATGCATCACCACTACCCGGCTCTTGATGGCTTCTACACAGTGAAACAGGAGTACAACGTTCCCTCCACTTTGTTCATGACTACCAGATAGTTTAAGGCATTTGCCCTGTGAGAGGTGTCTGCATTCAACATTGTTTTTCTTCTACTTGTCCTCAGTGAGGCACACACTGTCACCATTTTCTCCTGAGTACATTGTTTCTTCATGGTTTTTTGTGACATTCCCTTCTCTGAACTTGCCACCTACTTTTTGGCAGCCTCATTAATGAATCTCTATCATGATACTTGTCATATTCAGAGTTTTAACCATCTATTTTGGTCCTCCCACCAGACAAAACTCTCTGTGGCCTACTCATTTTTCTTCTCTAGTTCCTACACATGGTGACATCAATTAATATTTAAAGAATGAATGGACAGAAATCTTTGGAATAAGCTCCTATCGACAGAACATACTCTAAAGAATGCCACACAAAAGCTGGTGTATGTGAGTGTCTGTGTGTGTGTGTGTGTGTGTGGCATCGGTCCAGGAAGTCTTGTCACAGAGAACCTGGGTCTTGAGTTAGTTTTGAGAAAGATGCTGTTTCAGAGAGCAGAGAGAAGACAATATCTTGGACTTTAATTGCTTTGAGTCCTGTCTGTCCTCATTTCTCTAGGCCCAGTTCTTTGGGCCTGTGCTACTTTGTATGACTCTTATTCATGAACTAAGTCCTATTAATGATATATTACTTGACCTGAATTTTGCCTCAACATTAGTGCAGTGGAAATCACTAAAGAGAAGAAAATTAAAGTTAATACTTACTGAAAAGAAATGGCTACTCTCTGGCTTATTATTAGAGCTGGCCTTCAATCTAATTTTTCATAGTAAGATCAAAAATGCTAGGAAGTCTGACTGTATACCATATGCTAGGAGTCCTCAGCCAAGGCCAAATATGGGAAAAGTCAAACAGAGTATAGGAAACAAATGAATGAATCATAGTGTTGGGTAAACTGCAATTTGGCATAGACCCATAAACACAAACCAAAGAAGTGTCTCTGTGAAGATGTAAGAAATAGCTTTGGAAATGTTTCAGAAATGGATTTGAATTTGAATTTGACCCAGAGGACTGACTACAGCTGAACCTTCTCCTGTGAACCTAATATCAAATGTTTTCCACTAGATCATATCTGCTCACCAGTTTGTTCATGGATCATGAGTGAGGCTCCCTGCAGAGTGAACTGTACTCTAAAATGACACTGGCCATCAGGATGCATGCCTACCAGAGCCAGGCTGATCCCTAACTGTGGGAAGCAAAGATAATACAGTCTAAAAGTTGAGCAATGGAGTGAATTCTGGGCTCAAGATTGTGACTAGCTGTATACTGTTTGGTCTAATATCTGATTTGTGACTTAGTTATAATGAGATATTTTAGTTTGTGAAATTGCTTATTTTATGGCTGAAGTCACCTTGTGAATAAGTAGAACTAAATGGAGGAAAGAATGTGGACCTAAGTTTTTCTAAACAAGTCAAATTTTCTGGACTGTGTTCTAGACCCAAAAGGAAATACAAAAATGACAAGGTACAAATCCTCCTGTCTCAAGAATTGTAGGGGATCTTGAGAGATGGCTTAGTGGCTAACTGCACACACATGAGGACTCAAGTTTAGATGCAACACTTTGACAGAAAAAGCTTCAGGTAGGGGCAGGGAAGATGGTTCAGTGGTTAAGAGCAAGGTCTGCTTTTCTGGAGGACCAGAGTTCAGTTACCAACACCTGTATTAGGCAGCTCCCAGCTGCCTGTGGCTCAGGCTCCAGTGAATCCAACACTCTATTCAAGCTTCAATGAAATACACACACACACACACACACACCAGGTGGCCACAACCTCCTATATCTCTAGCACCAATGGACCCGTTGCTCTCTCCTGGACTGTAAAGATGCCCATACATGTGGAAAACACAGATACAGATAAATGAAAAATAAAAATAAATATTTAAAAAATAACTGGGCACAACTATAAACCCAGTGTTGGGAGTGTGGGGTGGAGACAGGCAGAGTCTAAGTGTTCTGTGGTCACAAAGCATAGCTAATGCAACAAACTCCAGATTCTATGGGAGACCTTATCTCAAAAAGTAAGATAGACAGTGGTAGATTAAGATGTCCAATATTTACCTCTGGCATGCAACTGCACATGCAAGTGTATATACATGCATACAATATACATGCACTCACATGTACAAACAAACAAATAGAATAAAAAGAACTGTAGAGTATAGGAGGGAACATGAGAAAGAAAATTATATGTGTAAAATAAAGGAGACTAGTTGCAATAGCTTCATCTATTAACTACAGGCAAGGCACTGTTCTAAATGTTGACATTTATTGTTTCATTGAAATGTAACAGAGGCCTTATGAGGTGCAAACTGCCCTCAGGTTCATTTTACTGGCGAGAAAATGTTTTGTTTTTGTTTTTGTTTTTTCAATTTTCAACTTGACCAAAATTATATTGTTGACAACTCCTGGGGGTTTGAATTCAAGCAGAGTAATTGTTGGTGCCTGGGCTGTTCTGAGGGGGATCTTCTAAGATGTGGGTATGGCTGTGATATGGCTTGTCCCCAAAAGTTCACAGGCTAGAGGCTTGGTGGTAGATGAGAGAGAGGGTTGGGGTCTTGTAGCATGTGACTAGGTTACAAAGATTTTGTGCTCATGAATGTAATAGAACTTGATTAGCTGCTGAAGAGTGGGTTACTAAAAGTCAATCTGGCATCCCTTCTGAATCCATGTTCTTGGTGTGCAACTTATCCTGCTTGTACACACTCTCCCATTGTAATGACCTCCACCAAAAGGCGCTCACTAAAACCAAGCACATAGCAAAGCCTTGACCTTGAACCTCCCAAACGAAGGTCCAAATAAAGCTCTTTCCTTTATGAAGTTCTCAGGCTCAAGTATTTTGCTATAGCAATGTAAAATGGCTCAAGAAAAGTATATACACACAAAGGTTCTAAACAAATCAGGCACGGTATACCTGTAATCTCAGAACTCAGGAAGAAGAAACAAGAGCCTCACGTGTTATACTTGTGGCTATCCTGGGCTACATTAAGAAACCCTGTGTCAAAA